CTCAGCTGCCAGCTCCGCAGGCCATGCCCTGGCAAAGTGTTCTGCCAGCAGAGGGCCCAGCTCCCAGGAAGGATGGGGGTCACGCAGAGAACAGGCAGCTAACATTCTAGGTATAAGCTCAACCCTTAGGATCCCCAGAGAGTCAGCTGGTGACCAACACAACTGGTTGAATTGATGTCTACAGTCAGTCAGCATATTCATTTTGGGACAAGCAAGACTATTTTAAAAATATATATATATTTTATTGATTTTGTACAGAGAGGAAGGGAAAGAGATAGAGTTAGAATCCCAGGTGCAGCATCTTCCACATATCAAGTAGGGCAGCGTTGTAGAAAAGAGAGAGAGTCATTGATCAGCCGCCTCTTGCACACCCTCTACTGGGGATATGTCCACAACCAAGGTACATGCCCTTGACTGGAATCGAACCCGGGACCTTTCAGTCCCCAAGCTGATGCTCTATCCATTGAGCCAAACCGGTTTCAGCAAGCAAGACTATTTTGCCCGAATTCTTCCCCTTTCTGAATTCATAGCCAGCCAATGCACATTAATTGGTTAAGTATTTGTACTTTCCAGAGATCATATGCACACTGAGGGCTCAGACCACTGCCACTAAATGGCCACATTTACTATTAGTGCTGTCATCATGTTGTCATTGTTGCTAACATTTGGCCCTCCATGTCTTTGTGTCTGGTCATAAGGCACCTCCCTAAAGGTGCACTGAGTTGTCTCTGTTAATCATATCAAGAAGAAAGGTCCCAAGTAGGGGACACAGGGTTGTATTTCAGCCTTAGAAATTATAAGATCATGATAATGATACCATCTAACATGTATGTCTTGATGTGTGCCAGGTTTTGGAATAACCATTTTATGCTGCATTTAATCCTCTCTAAAAAATCCATGTTTGTTATTCTAATTGCAGAGGTGAGGAAACTGACACTGGGAGAAGTGGACTAACTTGCCCTAAGGATCACCTAGCCTAATGAGGTGCTGGCATCTGAGAAGCCCAGAACCCACTCCACCAGACTGCCTCTTATGGTGGAATGTGGAACAGCACCGACAGCAACTCTCTCTCACACTCCTTCCCCAAAGCCTTCCTGTGAGCAAAGAGAAGATGGCATGTGAGGAGTAGGCCCCAAGGCTATTTCTGTTCTGAGAGTCATTAAGAGCATCACCAGGGCCCTTATGACCCCATCACCAGTTCACCTATTGAATCATTCATTCCTGCAGTGAGTGCCCACTGAGCTTCTCTGGCAAGCCCCATGTTGGCATAAGTGATGCAGGCATCTCCAAGTCATCCCATGGGGGATAGGAAGCCCAATGGGGGCAGGGGTCGTGTTTTTTTTGTTTGTTTTTGTGCACCATTGAGTCTCTGATGAGGAATGAATGAATAAATGAATACAAGAACTAAGGAATCTATCCACAGAAACCCAGGATGAAAAAAGTCCCTACTTAAAAAGAAAAAAAAAAGTACCTATAGGTCATGAGGCATATCCCATAATCTAATCTATATGTTCATATTGCAAGAATAATGAGATGTTAGCAGTTTCAGAATTAGTGTTCTCTTATTCTATTTCTCTGACAAGAAACAAACACTCTACCTGCTCTGCATTAGAATTATAGCAAGAAATTATCCCTTAGCAGGAACCATAGTATTTTAATGCACAGATGAATTTCAATTAGACATTTATCTAACCATGCTGATGTATTTTAAATTTAACCCTAAATTACAGACTTTTCAAATAACTCTGCTCTTCCCTCTGCTTCTCTCTCTTCAATTTTGGTTTGGTTTTGTGAAAGGTCTGCTGGTAAAAATGAAGCAATACCAGTAACTTATCTACAAATTACGGGAAGGAGAAAGTAGGTTAAAAAAGACCAAGAAACTTAAAACAAGTATGACCAAACCACATCCGAGTTAGGCAGGAAACAATAGGAGACTGTTCTTGCTCAGAGGGAAGGAAGGTAAATCTTACCAGGACTATTGTCAAACAAGTCATAAATGAGATTTACCTGCACTTTTCCCAAATGTCATCAGAATACAACAAACTTTGATTTCACACCAAGGGAAAGGCAAAAACCGGAAGTAGAAAGCTGACACTTTCACTTGGGATGGCAATTGATTCCAGGCTCAGAAAAATCTCATTTTCAGTTCAGAAATCCACCACACTGAGCACTGTGCCATTGGAGGAACAACCTTCATCCCAAGCAGAGGCCATAGGGAAAAAGAACAAATCTCCTACATTCTCCCTTTGATTAGATGGTTTGACTAACGTGGGTATCCAAAGCTGAGAAGTCACCAGTAACTTTCTGCAGTTAGCTTTTGCTCAAATGATAAACCCCATATCTCAATGTCAATATCCTGCTTGCGGTACTTAAAGTTTTGCAAGATGCTATCAATGGAGAAAAGCTAGGGAAAGGATATTATTATTTACAAGGGCATGCCAATCAATTTCAATTTAAAAAGAAACCCTGCTGTACTAGCCAATGAGGCTCGGTAGTTTGGAGCATCATCAAGTACACCAAAAGATGACGGGTTCAATTCCCAGTCAGGGCACATGCCCAGGTTGTAGATTCAATCCCCTAGACAACAGGGCGTGTTGGAGGCAACCAATCGATATTTCTCTCTCACATCAAATGCTTCTCTCTCTCTCCCATCCTCTCTGTAAAATCAGTTTAAACACACACACACACACACACACACACACACACACACACCTGCAAATCCTAGCACCCCAACCATTTCTTGGGTCTAAATTGGAAAACCAAGTCTAACCTCAGCAGCGTCACAGAGGAAGACATTCTGTGATGAAGCCTTAGCAGCTATCTTGGGGAAATCACAAGACGAAAGTAAGTCCAAAGGGACCCAATACATTCTAACTTGTTTTTCATGTAAATGTAGTATGAATTAGTGCGGGCTGGGTGGGGATTAGGGAAACTAAAAGGCAAACATATGCCTCATGTGATGGGGCAGCCTCTGAGATGCTTCCTGCAGAAACATATGCAAATGGGACCAGATTTTCTGACTTCAAGACAATCCTGAAATCCAATTTTCAGTGAAACTTCTTAATTCATAACTTTTTTTTAATATCCACATGAAGACCAAACCAAACAACTTTGAGGACTGGGTTGCAACCTGCCGAACTGATAGCACTTTAAGTGTATTTTCTTCCTATCCTCACCAAGAGCCCTTTGGAGTAGGGCTTGCTCTTCCTGTTTTCTATCTGGGCTGAAACTACAGTAACCAACTGGCTGGCAGGGTCCTCAGCAGCCCTGCTGATTCTGTCGCCATTACTTGCATTCATTAAACACCAAGTCATAAACACCAAGTCAGATTCACATGTTCTAGACCATGTGTCATGAAAAGGACCATTAGGGCCATTTAGGGAGTGTTTTCTGCTCCACACTGTCACCCCCTCTATCTCTAGGTTAAATCCTCTCACCAAGCACTACACCTTCTCTTTAGAGCACTTAGAAGATTCGAGATAGTACAGTTATTTGTATATTGATCGACATTTGTCTCTCCTACTGTACTGTAAAGCTCCAATGTGACAGAGGCTATTAGAATTTTCTATATCCCCAGAAGTAGCATGATGCCAGGTCCAAAGAAAGGACTTAAGAAACACTCGTTGAATGAATCAAAGAGAGGATGGGCCACACAGGGGCCATGAAAAGGCTCCATTCAATACAGTTGAACTAATGCCACCACCAATAAGGACAGAAAGTTTCTGGGAACCTTTTAAGAGGCTCAAATGCTCCCTTAAAGAAAAATGGCCAGGCTTAGCTATTCTACACCAGAAAAACAAGGAGGACAGGGGACTCTTGTAATAAATGGTACACCGTACAGTTCTGGCCTTTCATGCAACAGGATCCCCCTCCACACACTCCTTCAGATATGGCAACAAAGCTGACTGCCCAACGGCAAGGCCAGCCTTTTACCTGTGTGCTACACTCAGGGCTCATTTCAGACATGTCTGCTCAGTCCACACTGCAGCAGACACAACGACAAACAAGATGCCTGCCATAAGCTGCTTAAAGCTGGTAAGATCTTTGCTAAGAGGGAACCAGCAGCAAGGACCTTCCAAATTTGGGGTTTGGTAAGGACACAGGTACAACAGCAGAAACATGGGCACACTGGGGAAAAGCAAATTAGACAAGTACTAAGGTAGCCTGGAGCTCATTACATATGAGCAGGAGGGGAGAAGTGAAGTCAGGCAAGATACACAGGAGCCAAGCTGGAAAAACCTCAGAAATCATTATAGTGGTCATCCAGTGTTTTCCTTTGGCAAAGCACAAAATGCACAAACATGCACAAACCACATATGTCCTGTTTAGGCTACAGTTAAGTGATAATTTAAATCCTGGGAGATTTTGTATCAAAATGCAAATTTCCAGCTTCTCTGGAAATATGAGAAAATCTAGCAATATTGCATCCATATTCCTGCAGAATGACTGCAGTCTGGGACAGCAGCTACTCATAAAGGACGCATACACTCTCCAATTTGCTCCAGTCCCCAACACTCCCTACTGCCCTCAGTTGGGGCCTGTCTCTTCATAGATGTCCCATAACCAGCCTCTATAGCTATTGGTGTCTCAGGCAAGGTATTCTCTCATTTTGTCCCCATAACAGTGTCTCATAAATATACAACCTGAGACAATTCCATGTTCAATAACACACAGCCATGTATGTAACAATATATTTAAATCATTTTTCTTGAAGTATTAATGTTTATTGCATGTAACATTAAATTTTAAATCATTTTTCTTGAAAATAAAATAAGTAATAACATACATTCACTGAATCTATTCTTGGTATAGACCCCCAGCTTTTCCTGGGTATTCATTTCAAGACTCTGATTAGGTTCCCTGAATCCCATAGTAGTTTAGACGTCACTGTTGCTGTAAGCAGAAAGTTGGTTTCCGGTTTTAGAGAAACACACAAGTTAACAAAATGAGCCATGGCTTCTTATCAGGGTCTAGAAACAGTCGTAACACTAATGACTTACACAACTTCTCTGAACATCCTGTTCAGTCTTAGCGTACATCTCAGACAGATCACCATTCAGAATGACTTCAGCTAACGAGTTCACCAGGGGTGCATGATGTATAATGAGGAAGACCTGGTGAGAAAGAAGAAATGGGATTTGTATTAAAGTGTGCAGTCTTTCAACCTCTTGCTTTCTTGATCTGCAGCGATACTTGGCTACACAAGTCCCATATTAAGTAGCAATATCTGTGTTATGCAAAATCCAAGGAATGGGTGACATTCAGAAAAAATGAGTTACACGTTTCTCCTTCTAGGGTTGCGCTCTCTCCCCCACCCCCTTCCGCCCCTTCATTCAGACTGTTGCCTATTTGGCTGGCTGCTCTTCTTCAGCGGAAGGAAATGCATTAAAAGCAAGACTGTCCCTCATGGCTGGGTGAGGCCAAATCCACTGAAGTAAAGCACAGTGGGGAAGGAGCAGCCAAACCAGCACACTCTTTCCTCTCCACAGGCATTTCAGTGTCAAATTCGATTATGAAAAGATTAGAAGGCACCGGCCCAATACTTTAGTTATACGGGAAGAAGGAGCTAGTGAGTCTTGTTCCAATCAAGGACTTGGCAAAGGATCAGCTGCACAGAGATCCACCACTGGAATGAGTGCTGACCCCTGTGGTGGGCTTCGGCACACCAGAATTCCATGGCAGTATGGGTAGGTGTGGAAACTGTGGGGAAGAAAAGCCACACGAGCCAGAGATAGCCTGAATTGTGCCAGGATGCAAAATCAGAAGGCACGGGGCCATCAGGGATGGCCCCACCACCCCACCCTGTTGCCCAATATTCAGAGGAACAGCTTTAGGAATCAGAGTATTCAAAACCGCCTCACAAAGCTCGTTCAGACACACCTGCTACTTTGCTTTAAAATGGAAAGGCAAACCGGAGTAGCACAGTGTAGGGTTATCTACTATTTACATATAAAAAGGGTGTGTGTGTACACACCTATGTATTTATTTTTATGTATATACATGGAACAAGGTTTCACACCTTGGCATTACTGATCCTAATCCTATATGTGGGGCTGTCCTGCGCATTGTAGGATATCTGGCGGCATCTCTGGTTTCTACCCACTAAATGCCAGTAGCACCTCCCACCCCAGTTATGACAACCAGAAACATCTCGACATTGCCAAACATCCCCTGTGGGGAGAAAGGTTTTGAAATCACTCCCAGTTGAGAACTCATGGTAGAGAACATTTCTGGAAGGACAGAGGAAAACCCTGTAACTACAGTTGTCTCCAGGGATAAAAATCAGGGGGCTGAACAAAATTAGAAAGAAAAAAAAAAAAAAAAACTTGGTTTTTACCTATCTGAACTTTTTAACTTAAAAAAAAAAAATTAAGTGAACACACACACACACATTAAAGGCAGAAACTGAAACACCATCTGCCTCTGGGCAGTGGAACTGGGTGCCTGTAGGGTCAGGGTTCAGAGGGAGACCCCTCCCTACATGTCACTTTGTTTTGTTTGAATAGGGTGAATATACTGTTAAATAAAATAAATACAATTTAAATTAAAGGTACAGGCAGAATAACCAAATGTAGACCTACCTACTTACCTAAAACACACACATACACACACACACACACACACACACACACACACACAAAACATGTTTACTATCATAAAGATTACATATGAATTTATCCATGTCCGGGGCTCTGGCAGGCATTCAACTATTAGCAATGATGATGATGAGATAGGTAAGTTTTCTCACCTTCACGTGGCCGAATTATTGTCACACTTAACTACAAAACAAATCTCAATCACTGAGTTCATTCATTCCACAAATACCTACTGTGCACCTTATGTGGACGTGACCTTAATGATTATTTAGTTATTCTTTAGTCAGTCCACATTCAGTGAGTGCCAAACTAAGAGCCCACTGGACAAAAGTCGCCTGATTCCCACCTATGGACCCACCCAGGGCTCATTTCTTCCTGCGCTCTGGATGAAGGAAAACACGTAAGCGGGGAGCCAGTCACTGCACGGTGTGTGGAAGATTACCTGCACCACACTCTCCTACCAGGAACAGTGTAGTTTCAGCAGGACAGAATCCTGTCATACTAAATCAATGTTGTCAATGTGAATTTTCTTGGTTTTGTGGCTGTGCTTGTAAAATAATTGGTAAGGATGATCTGAAGTAAGGCTTAAGAACATGGGGTTTATACCTGCTTCAAGGTTTTCACACACTTGGGCAACATTGCAATAAAGCTAAATGAAAACGCAGGGAAGGAAGGACTCTGTTACTCAGGTTAAGGTACACCAGATTATAAGCTGTGCTTTTTGTGTGTTACTGAAACAAGTAATCAGGTGTCTGAGCTGCTGGTCCTTCACTAAAAAAAAGGAGGAAAGGGTTTCTCAGAGTAAAGGAGTGGTCTGACCCCTCACTCCTTAGAGGAGACCCTGCCCGTGCAAGGCTCCAACAACTGAAGCATCCTGAGGGTGTGTTTCCTGAGATTCCTGTGGCTGAGCATCTGGCCTGCTCAGGTCCTGCCAGACTCCCAGAATCCCAAGCGGAGATGCTGGCGGATTTGTAATGAGGTGGTGGAAAAAGCTGCCAGGAGAGACTGGGGTTTGCACTGAGCTCTGTTTCACAGAGGGGCATTCAGAAGGAGTGAGCAGCAGTGCAGAGCTCCAAGCAAACAGAGTCCCCGAACAAGACACTAGGAGTGAACAGTGAGCAGGCCACTGCAGAGCCCAATTGGCTGAGTCGTTGGGAGGAGTCCAGGTCTGCATCTCTCTCCTCAGGCCAATGGGACACAGCCCCACCTCAAACTCAAAATGGCCCAGGGACCAAGTTAGAAGGACATTCTCTCAGCAAAGCAAATAAATGCCTGTGCCATTTGCAGAAGTGAGAACAGAGCTCTGGTCAAACGTTTGACTACTTGACAGTCTAATGAGATGGCCTGAAAGTCTGAACTGCTTGTAATAAAAATATTTTTAAAGTTATGTAACTGGGTCACCATGGAGTTTTTCCCTTCTTGTAAATATTACATAATTACGAGAAGGAAACACACTTAGGGGGGGAGGCAGACAAATTGGCTTAAGATGGAAATCTGGGAACTGCTACAAGATACCTTCCAGAAGGTAATCTGGGAACTAGAACCATGACAAAAGCCTTTAAAAACAGCTTTGTTATGGAAGTCTTTTAAACCAGGGTCGCTGTGTGTATGCACACAATAGTCTTGCAGTTTGGGGCTTATTTCAAAATGCCATGAATAAAACCCAGACAGTCCACATTTCCAAGGTATTTAAAACACTCCTTGGTTGTTTTGGAAACCTCGATCCTCATGGTAAAACTCAACTACCTAAGTGCCAGGTTAGATTTGTTTTTCATTTCTTGTTAAATTTCCATCCACTACTGTGAAGAAGATACTGGCACCTCTACTCAAGTGTCTAGAAAATAGAACTCCCATTTATTTTATTATCTTATTTCAAGAGAGAAGATAGGGCAATGTGATCTGGGAAATTTCTGAGGGGCAGCAGCATTCCAAGGTCCCCTACATGTGGTGGGGAAATAGGCAAATGATCAAACATACCTGTGACAGAAGATAGAGAGACACCGGCAAGCTGATTTTGGGCCGTTGTTCTCCACCCTTGAATATTGAGGGGAAAGAGAGAGAAATCCAGGTCATACAAGTGAGTGGCACAAAATACATCTGTCTGGAGAAGAGGCATCCTGTCCCCTAATTTTCTCCAGGACCCTGAGTTATTCTGGCCTGGCGCTAGCTAGTCTAAAGTCCACTCTGCAAAAGAAATTCACAACCAAATCCCATTCAGTATCATTTGCAAGACTATGATTTTTCCACCTGAGAAGTCTTTCATCATTAGTCATGGATTAGAGGTTGGACCCAAAAGAAGAATTGGCTCCTTAAATTACCAAGAATGTTAATTTTTCCCAGCTGGGACATGGAAAGCCCAAGTCCCATCTGCCAGGAAAGCCCTCAAACCCCTCCCCCCACTCCCTCCCCAGGGCCCTATTCTCAGGAAGAGCTTTGAAAATGGGGCAGGAAGACTGGGATACTACAGCCTCTGAAAAGCCTCTCCTTTGCACTGAGCCTCACTGAGCTCCACCAACCCTGAGAGGATCTTCAGAACCCTCATTTTGCTCAAGAAGGTTAACTGCCTTGTCCAAGGTCACAGAGTAAGGAAAGGGAAGAGATAGAATTTAAACCCAGGTTTGAAAAAACCTCTTCCCATGCTTTCTCTCTGCCTCCCGGAGCTGCCTCTGCTAGACTTGGTTAGGTTTGCAATTTCCTTCCAATTACTTATTTTTAGTAATAATCTTCTACCTCCAAAAAGAAAGCTGCACCCTTGTGAGACACATCTGGCTCTGTCCCACGTCCTGCTGAGGCCTCCGCCCCTCAACTCAGGGAGGGACTGGGCAGAATGTCTCCACTCCCTGAAGCAGCATTGCTCATGGGGGAAGCAGAGAACTATCAGCTCAGACTTTCCTGGGGCAAAAGGGGGCAGGTTAAATATGAGATTTCTTTCTTTCTTTCTTTTTTAATATATATTTTATTGAGTTTTTACAGAGAGGAAGAGAGAGGGATAGAAAGCTAGACATCAATCAGCTGCCTCTTGCACACCCCCTACTGGGGATCTGCCTGCAACCAAGGTATATGTCCTTGACCGGAATCAAACCTGGGACCTTTTAGTCCGCAGGCCGATGCTCTATCTACTGAGCCAAACTGGCTTCGGCAAATATGGAGATTTCTGGTCCATCCCAGACACACTGGACCAGCATCTCTGAAAAGGGAAGACACCTGAGGATGTGCACTTTTAATAGGCATTCTTCCCACAAGGGACTCTGAGCCTGCTAACTGGGAACAGCCATTGCCCTGGGAGCTCTTCCTAAGTGCGTCCCATCCCTTCATGTCCATTCTGTGCCAGTTTTGTGGCTGGCTGGATCTTCTCCAAGTTGATTAACCTTGGCAACTACCAGAAAAAGTTACCAAGGATGAGAACACCACAAGAGAAGGATGCACAGAAGCCAAAAACCTAAATTCATAGAGGTTTCCTGTTTCATTCTGATGTCAGTATTCTTTTCTCATTCACTATTACAGTTTTTACAACCTACCCCCTTCACACACATATTCCTCCCCCCTCCTTTTTTCTTCTCCCTCCCTCCTCCCCCTACTTCCAGGAAATAAGAGGAAAGGAAAAGAAAACCAGTGTGCTTTGAAAGGAATCTCTCGCAGGCTCAAAGCTATGGCCCCTTGCAAAGCTCAGCCCTATTCAAGGTGACTGTCCTTCCCTCCTTCTGAAGACCTTCAGCCCGCAAGAGCTCACCTTGTCCTGGTTCTCCAGTGAGTACACGTAGAGGGGTAGGAAGAGTCTGTTGAGCAGGTGGTCCGTGAGCACGTCATTGAGGAACTCACAGTTGATGATCAGGATGTCATTAAGATAGTGCAGGTGGTCCAGGTGCTCAGCCACCAGGTCACTCAGTTTTCCTCGATTCCGGTGCCTGCCAATAAAAGTGACCACCTCAGTCTGGAATCCGAAGCTCAGAGCCCTTGGGCCTAGATCAATGGCCTGAGACTTAGGTCACTGAGTGCACTCATTCATATAGCAAATAACTGAATTAGTTTCAAGAAACATCTATCCTGCCCTACTATGGGGTACACAGAGGGGAAAGGGGATTTTATCGGACTCCTGGGGTACCTCACCCTCTGGGGGCCCCAGCATAACTCACCCCCACCACCACCACCACAACCACAAAAAAAGATGGATAAACAGCAAATAAACAGCTAAGCTCTTGGCAAGCCATTTCACAAGGGTAGCCACTAGCCAATATAGCAAGATCCCCTCACTCCCACGATAAACAGTATTAATGGAGCAATAAACCCTTGCTAATTAAAATGCTCTAGGAGTTCGAAGAAAAAAGCAGGCCTCAGCAGCTGCATGGGACCCACTGGCCCTGACCTTATGTGGGACAGGAGCATAAAGACATGACATGCCACCTCAGGCCCCACCAGGTCTCTATCTCCCTGCAGTGAAGCAATAGCATGCTGGTTGGCCCCATGGGTGAGCCAGTCTCAACCTCACAAAGGATGGCAGAGCTCCTAACATAGCTGGTGGGCTCATCTTCCCACCCCTAAAGTGGTCTCTGTTGCAAAAAGTAATCTAGATAGGGTAAGACACTTTGTTTGTATTATAGTTATTCCTCAAGTAATAGATGGCCATTTTAGAAGAAAGAAAAGCAAAAAACAAAAGCAAAGTCCCCTCTAGCTCCACCACTAACAGATGATATTTTTGGACTTGTGTCCCTATATTCTGTTTCTTCACATTTCTGTCTCTCCATAGTCGCACTTAAAATGCAGGTGTTGTATTCTATCCATCTAACCATCTCTACTTTAAAATCGAGATCAATTTTGCTTTTATATATCTTTGGATAATCATCCTTTATTATACTTTGATAAGATATGCAGTAAGTATTAATGCCAAATACATATTGTAAAGCATAATTGTATAATGAGTACCTATGGACCCACACACAGCCCACCTGAGACCTAGAACATTTATACACCTTTCATAAACTTTACCCCACTTAAGACACTGGAAATTTTTCTTCTGCAGGATACTTAATGCCCTTTACTTTTTAACCCTTTACTTTTAAAAACTCTTATCAAAGCAATATATGCAGATGGGTTTAAAAATCAAACAGTTCTGATAAGCTGATTAGAAAAAAAAATAGCAGCTCCCGGCCCAACTTCCCCCACCCCTGCCTACTCTCCACAGGAAGTGCTTTTTAACTTTTAGTTGTTTCTGTGGATAATTCCTCCTAAAAATCTGAAAGAACCTCTATGTTCTGACTGAGCCTCTATGCATGATGTTATGCATTATGTTATGACAGAACCCTTTGTGCTCCCTCCGCTCCTTCCCCCAATAGTCATTGGCAATTGATGTTGACATTATCAGAGCCATTCACTGCAGAGACAGAGGACTAGGGGTTAATTTCCTTCCTGTATAACCTGTTTTCTCTCTGGAGTTAACTGCCTCCTTATGTTTCATATCTACACCTGCTCATATCCATATGAAATTGCCCCATCAGATTTGCCATCCACCTTCCCTTGCTTTTTTTTAAGTTTTAATTTAAATTCATTATTGTTTCAAGTATTACATATGTCACCTTTTTCCCCCACTGACCTCTGCCCACAGCTCCCACCCCTTTGCTTCTTTGTCAACAGGAGATCTACTACTACGCACTCTCTCTCTAGTCCCCTCCCCCTAGAGGACCTCCTTCCAGAGTCCTATCGCCCTGACCCCTTCTGGGTGTGCTTCTCACTAGTCTGTGCAAAGCTGTCACTCTGGGACAGTAATTCTCAACTGACAGCAATCAGGAGACATTTGGCAATGTCTGGAGACATGTTTGGTTGTCACAACTGCAAAAGGAGTGCTACTGGCATCTAGTGGATAGAGGCCACGGATGCTGCTAAACAGTTTACAACGCACAGGACAGCCCCACAACAGAAAATAGCTAGTTCAAGAGACCAAGAGTGCCGGGTTGGAGAAATCTTTGTCTGGAATTTCTATTCATTACGCTAGGGCCCAAATTACTATCTTCATCTTAAAAGACAAACAAACAAACAACAAAAAACCACACACAAAAACAGATACATTGAGATATAATTCATATACCATAAAATTTGCCCATTTTAATCACAAAATTTAATGGGTTTAGTGTATTTGAAGAGTTATCCAAGCATCATCACAATCAATTTTAGAACATTTTTTTTATCCCCTCCCCTCAAAAAAGACCTATACTCATATCCAGTTACTTCCCAATTCCCCCATTTACCTCTTTCCTCCATTCCTACAAAACACTAATCTACTGTCTCCTTGAATTTGCCTATTTTGGACATTTCATATAAATGCAATTATACAATACATGGTCCTTTGTGTCTGGCTTCTTTCACTGAGCATAATGCATTCCAGGTTCATCCATGGTGCAGCATGTATGAGTGCTTCATTCCTTTTTATTGCCGAATATTAATCCATTGTATGCAAATACATGTTGTTTATTCATTTACCAGCTGACAGATCACTTTCATCTTTTTACCAGCTGCCTATCACCCATCTTCAGGTGTACTGAATTTAGTAACCCTCATCCTCTCTGGAAGGTATCTGAGTTGTCCCCAGTTTTCCACTATTATTAAAAGTAGACAGGTGGATGGAACCTTTCAGAGTATGGAAGTCCATATTATGCCTATACAGAAGCAAGTAAGTTTTGTTCTGATGTTTATTTTTCCTCGATGAAAAGGAAATTCTCCCTTAATCACTCTGTCTACCTAACAAGTACCCCACAAGGTCACTTACTCCTCATCAGTCTGCACACAGTTATCAAGTTCGATCACGTGGCTCCCGATGAACCAGACCAAATTGGAGAAGTAAGGGACAGCAGTTTTATCTCTGATATAATGTAGCATGGCCTGGTTATCCACTGGGAAAATTCACAAAAGAAGAGAAAAAAAGAGTCAAGCTACCAAAAATAACTTGGGGGAGATTTAAAAAAAAAAAAAAAGAAAGAAAGAAACCATAATGAAAAGGTCAGTTACTATTATCTGAATCTTTTCTGTTTTCCCTGAAAATACTTGAAAAATGGTTACTTTATTCATAAAACTATACTTGTCAAGGCAGTTCTTACGCTATTTTTATGATTAATAAAATTAACTCAGTTCAACTTTAATAGTGCATTAGAAAGCCTACTTATCAGCAGAGTGTTTAGCTAGACTACAATGAAAGCTACATTCTTAAGCAAGTTTCCTGAGTTACATGTAAAGATAAGTTAAGAAAGCGAAAAACCAGAGGTTAATAACTTACATGACACTGGAATAAGGAACACGGGACTCGTCATTGAAGGAAAGGCAAAAAACAGACAACGGTTAACAGGGTTAGGAACTGAGACAGCTGCTCAGAGGGAGAGAGCTAAGGCAGGAGGCATCTAAACTGAAAGACACAGGTTAGAAGAGAACAAGAGAAAACAGGTAACAGGAGGCAGCAGAATTGTAGCCTGGAGCAGGTTGCAAACTCAGAAGCCAGGCTGGCAGATGACTCAGTGAGAAGCCAGCAGGCCTGGCCAGTGAACTGGGGAGCTTGATCATAAAGAGGGCAACTGCTCCTCAGCACAGGTTCACCACCACCCTGCAGTACTGAGCCCAGATTAGCCAAACCTACGTTTGCAAGTCAAAAATCCAGATTATTACCCAAGATCTTCTTAATGTTTAATTACTGACAACTATAGTCCTGGCTAGTGTCGCTCAGTGGTTAGTGTCGGCCTATGCACCGAAGGGTCACAGGTTCAATATGCACCAAAAGGTCACAGGGCATGTATCTGGATTGCAGGTTTGATCCCCGGTCCCCCGTCAAGGTTCATGCAGGAGGCAATCAATCAATGTGTCTCTCTCACATTAATGTTTCTCTCTCTCCCTCTCCTCCCCTCCCCATCCTCTCCTCCGTTCTACGGTGTCTGAAAATCAATGGAAAAAATACCCTTGGGTGAGGATTTAAAAAAAAGTACTGACAACTATATAATTTTTCAAAAAATATCTAAGCCAATTAAAACCTGAGAGCCGAAGCCAGTTTGGCTCAGTGGATAGAGTGTTGGCCTGCGGAATGCAAGGTCCCAGGTTCGATTCTGGGCAAGGGCATGTACCTTGGATGAGGGCACATCCCCAGTAGGGGGTGTGCAAGAGGCAGCTGATCGATGTTTCTTACTCTCTATCCTTCTCTCTTCCTCTCTGTAAAAAATCAATAGAATATATATATATTTTTTTAATTAAAAAAACTAAAACCTGTCTGAGAGCTGGATTCATCTAACCAGACTCTCCTATTTTGACCTCTGGATGGATAGGCCCCACTGAGCTCTTAGAAAGGCTCTTCAATTTAACACAATCCCAGAGCTAGGCTGAGTGAGTCCTGGAGGAGCTCTCGCCCCTCCCAATTAGGATCATCTCAAGTAACAACATCCTAATTTATGAAGGTCAAAGCTCTTTGGTTCCTGATAAACAGTCCCAGCATCAGTGTGGTGAATACAGGGGGGAAAAAACAAGAAGGCATTATCCAGAGGGTCAATTCCAGGTAGAGGAATTGTGTGCAGCCAGCCTTTGTGCGGGTTTGGGAAGGGAGCTGTGAAAGCCTTTCTCCTGGAGGCAATGATTTGGGTATTAAGTTCATCTAGAAAGGAGGACTTTGCAGCAGGCTGAGAATACAATATTGCCCCCTGCTGTCCATGATGTGAAATGCTTTTATACATGATTTAAAGACAGCATACCCCTAGAAGTATATCTTACAGGCCAAAACAAAAAATTTAAAGTAACATTTAAAAAATAACTCTGCTTTATCTAATTATCACATGACCACTCCAAGTCCCACATGTGCCTCTCTCAGGACACTACGACTTCTGTGTTAGCACTAAGATAACTTACATGACACTGGAATAAGGAACAAAACTGAGTATGTAGGGAAAAGATAGGGATACAGAATTTCTTTAAGGGACCAGCTAGATGTTCAATGCCTACAAGCCCTTTGTGAAACAAGCATCCACAGCTATAGTAAATGAACTCCTGAGAGGGAGCACTAACTGCCAAAGCAGAAATCATAAGGAAAACTTACCTTTGTAGACGTTCAACGTGATGGTTCTGACAGCAATTCTAACCATGCTTTCAGGGTGATTGAAAAATTTGATGGCTTCTGTGTACAGGGCAAAGTCATTAGTGTGCTAAAACAAAAGAAGTACCAAAAAGGAGTTACAAATCCATAAGAAAGGCCTGCCCCCACCCCAGCTTCCTGAATCCTATCACAGACATCAGTCAAAGGCCCCCAAAAATATTACCAACATTGATGTTAAGCCAGTAGTTCACTCCCAATGGGAGTGTGGGAATGTGGGAAGGAATGGAGAAGGGAGATCATGGAATGGAAAATGGTCCAGACCCAGGCTAATGAATTGTTCTACCACTTCTTAGCTATGTGATGTAATATTTCTAAGCCTCTATTTCTTCATCTAGAAAATGGGGATAATAATTCCCCCTTCATAACTGCCCAATGATCCTGATCTCCCGTATTCACATATTTATGTCATCCTCTCCTACACTGAATCAGGCTCTCTTTACGGCCCAAAGAATATGGCAAAAGTGATGGTGTGTGGCTTCTGAGGTTGGGTCATAAAATGTACTCCAGCTTGTCTTGCTCTCTTGGGTCATTCATTCTAGAGGGAGCCAGCACCAAATGGCCAGCCATATGAGCAAGCCAACCTGGAAACAGAAATTCCAACCCTAATTCCAGCCTTCAATCAAGTCAGAAATGCTCTGCCATGCCACTCCCAAATTCTAGACATACTGTGTGATAAATGCGACACAAATCTGACCAGAGAGACAGGAGAGGAAGTCTGCTGGGAAACTTCTGGAAAGGAAGGTTTGGGGGAATTAAAGAGACCAAAAAGGAAAGTGATCTCATCAGGCTTTTCAGCAATGGCATGTGAGTATGTGAGGTCTGGAGCTGCTGCAGCCGTTCTGAGGTCATGAGGGTCGCGTCTGAGGTCATGAGGGTCGCGTCTGAAGATGCCAACTGTATGGTCAGCGGAGCAGGAAGATGGAAAAGCTTGGTCCTTGATGAAGGGGTTAGCCACAGGATGAACCAGCCCCAGGACAGCTGGCATCTGTATCTTTTGGTATGAGATAAACTGACTTTATTGTTCAAGCTACTTTTAATTGTGAGAACAATAGCAATTTATTTATTTAAATTTTTAGTAATTCTCCCCAAGGATTACTAGGGATGTTAACTTCTAAAGAACAGCAAAAACACATGGCTGGTGTGACTCAATGGTTGAGCAACAACAAACGAACCAGGAGATGATGGTTAGATTCCCAGTCAGGGTACATGCCTGGGTTGCGGGCTCGATCCCCAGTGGGGACTGTGCAGGAGGAAGTCAGTTGATGATTCTCTCTCATATTGATGGTGGTGGTTGTTTTTTCTTCTCTCTCTCTGAAATCAATAAAAAAAAAATCTATATACTTTTATAAGAATAGCTATAACTTTAGGGAGCCAGGTACATAATAGGTACTTTGCAGGTATCATCTCATTTAATTCAATCCCTGTAAAAACCCTACAAGGTATATATTATCATCCCCATGTCTCAGGGAAGAACTGGAGGCTTAGAGGACTGAGACTTCTCTAAGGTCACACAGCAGGGAAGTGGCAAAACTGGGTCTGAATGGACTTCCTGTTTTCCCCACAGGGTAACACGACCCTGGACAGAGGTGCTGCTCTGACCAGCAGGCTCTGCATCCAAACGCACCTCCCCCGCAGTCACTTACCTCATTGTAAAAAAAATGGACAGTGTGGTTGTTGAGTTTTAACGAAAGTGTTTTCAGGAATGATATATAATATGCCATAATCTCTTCATCGGAAAAGTCAAACTTATGGACAATGATAGAATTTACATAATTATTAGAGAGCAAATAATCTAGAGGGAGAAAAACAAAACAAAACAAAAAAAACAGGTTAATTCGTGCAAGAGGATAGACAAGTAGAAAAAGTCAGGTAACAAAGCAGATGACCATATGAATATACACAAACCGGTCAACTTTCTGGGTGGGTGGTGTTATCAAGCTAACAGAGAGCAGCTTGACCTTTAGCCATCAAAGAAATCAGCCAGTATAGTCACCAGAAAGTTCAAAAGCAATGTCAGAGAAAAGCCCGGGGTTCCCTACCCTCCCACACCAAGCAGGACATTTTCTTCATTGCCGGCACAATTCAACACAGAGCTGGGAGTGGGACAAATGAGTTGGTGCGTGGGCATTTCACAACAGCCTACGGGTGAGGGTAAAAAGCACTCTGTATTCTATAAAAAGCTTCCCCATTTTGCCCTTAAAAGTCACCCCATCATCCTGAATGCCACAAAGGGCCTCGCGCACATGGCTTTTTTATCCCTATGTAGCTTTCTAGCTTTTCAGAAAAGCCACTTTATGCTGAACCTCCACTACATGCCCAGCATCAGGCCGAATGCTTCACCCTGTAACTGTCACAGCGATACTGCAGAGGAGGTCCCGTTCTTCCCATTTTGCAGATGGGTAAAAAAAAGCTCAGAGAGGTTGATTAATTTGCCCCAAGAAACAGAAAATTGCAGAGGTGGAACTCGAACCAAGGTCCCATGTCAAAGCCTGTGTTAATATCATCACGAATGGGAGTCAACAATGATGAGGGCCTGGAGGCACTGGGCCAACCGAAGAACAGCTACCCCCTCGAAGCCCCCAACTCCTGGCCCCTTCAGGAACGCAGGATCAGCGTGGTGAGAGCTCCCAATTATGCAAAGGAAGCCGAGCAACACAGATGTTAATGCTGCATCTCCTGAATGTGCAATGTTGGCCACTAGATTGGCTAGTTTTTAAAGCTGTGCTGGCCTGCAAGCACAAAGTCCGTAGACCAGCTGTGGCCCATGGGCCTCTATAGTTCGTGACCTTGGCATTGGGCCTTCCTCTAAGTCCTCACCAACCACCCTTCAAAGCAGGCTCTGCTGTATCCTGTCTGTCCTCTGGGCTATCAGCTTGTGAGCACTGCACCACCCCAGCTGCTTCCCCAAAATGGTTAAAGGCAGAACAGGATCAAAACCTGCACCTACAGGCAGACACACAAGGCATGGGAGTGGAGTGGTTCAGAGTGTGGTCCTCCGAGTAGCAGCACAGCATCACTCGGAGCTAGTCAGTCATGCTGGATCCTGGGCCATTCCTGACCCCACTCACATCTCTGGGGGTAGGCCTGGGACTCTGTGTTAAGAAACCCTACAGGCTTCCCACCACCTCGTGTGGACTTGGATCCACACTGTCTCTGCCACATCCTAGCTGGGTGACCTTGAGCAAACCGCTTACCCTCACCACTCCCCAGTCTTCTTGTCTAAAATAACAATACCCTCCTCACGGGCTGTTCTGAGAACTAAAGATAATACACAAGAAGCCCTAAGAACAGTAAGAGACACAAAGTAAGCTCTCAATAATGTTAGCTGCCACCGAGACTGGTTTGGGTCAATGGATAGAGCGTCAGCTTGGGGACTGAAGGGTCCCGGGTTCGATTCCGGTCAAGGGCATTTACCTTGGTTGCGGGCATATCCCCGGTAGGGGGTGTGCAAGAGGCAGCTGATCGATGACTCTTATCGATGTTTCTAACTCTCTCTCTCCCTTCCTCTCTGTACAAAATCAATAAAATATATTTTTTTAAAAATAATAATGTTAGCTACCATTACTTATTACTCTCATTTGGAGATTCATAGTCTGCACTACCATATTCCTAGGACTGAACACAGTTGCTCTTAGGTGAATCGAAAATAAACCACTAAGCTATTTGGTGGCAAAGAGGTACCGAACTTAGGCCAAAGTATTACTGAAAAGACTATTTGGAATCACCAAACACAATATAAAGAGCCAGCCAGGAGCCCAGAGCCATGAGAGGCTATGGCAGGGGCCACAGCTGGGTCCTCCTCAGAAGCCAGCTCTCCAGAGAAGCCACTGTATTCAATGCACATTGGGTATTCTGGCTGCACAGACAGGCCATGAAGACTGTAATCTTATAAAGGTTGTCAGAATGTCTTGATCAAACAATAACTGAGGAAGATATTGGTGCCTGCTCCAAGAGAGGAGGCAGTGTGTCTGGGGTGAGGGCCCAAGAATCTGACTATGTTTAAAAATGAGGTACACATTCCACAAAGCTTGACTGTACTTGATATATGTGGAAATGCACATATATAGGAATGCTAAGTACATATACCTGTGAACTGATATATACACACTTCACAAATCTTAGGTGTCTAGCTTGATGAATTTTTGCAAATATAAACCATAAGCACCACCCAGACCAGGCGTAGCATATGTCCAGCTCCCCAAAGGTCCCCATGACCTTACCCAGTCATCCCCCTCTCCAAAGACAACCCCTAGTCTGACTTCCATCATTAACTGGCTTTGCCTGCTCTTGAACTTCATAGGCGTGCTTCTTGTCTGGCGTCTTTCATCATATCTGAGAAATAGCCGTGTTGCTGCACCAAGTGGTAAGAGTTCATTCCTTTTTTTCCTTTTGCAAAGTATTCCATGCTTTGAACAGTTTGCAATCTACCCCCCTAGAATCTTGGCAAGCAGTCCAGGTGATACCAATGGCGAGGAAACTTTTTCATTCTGTCATTCTGGTTATGGATGGGGACAAATGAGCCGTCAGAGGGGACAGTTGAGATGTCATGGTGAGCTTCGTTGTGACTGGTTAGTGGCTTCCGGGCCTCCCGAGGTGCAGACGCCAATGCTGGTAGCTTCAGACTTGCAACATGAGCCTCTGGGCTCCACTCTCGAGGTGGAAAAGCCACATGCTCCAATCATTACAGCAGGGACTTTTCCAGGGCCTCCACAAAACGACTCTGTGGGTGGTGGGGACCAGCATGGGGGCAGCGGAGGGGCCTCTATTATTCGGCTGGAATTTTTCTCCTACCCCCTCACTGTGTGGCTGACTTTCTGTGGTATCCTTTTATAATAAACCCAGGAGTCTATAAGTAATCTCAGTCTCTCGGCCTTCTGTCACTTATGTCACCAAAATCAACAGCCAACAGGTGCCCCTGTGATATGGCGGCTTGTAATAGTGAAAATCTGGAAACCACCTAAATGCCTATGGTCAAGTTAAATAAGTTATGGCCCAGTGAATGCAGCTCTTGAACCGAACTACATAAGGTTGCATGAATAGGCAATCAGAAGGTTTAAGATACACTGGTAGGTTGGGGAAAAAATAAAACAAACAGCAAAATGGTATCTGACTGAACAGTAGGGTGAGATTTGGCAGAACTATTGCTTTCTATATTTTGTAATGTTTGATTTTTAAAAATATATATGTTTTTATTGATTTCAGAGAGAGGAAGGGAGAGGGAGAGAGATAGAAACATCAATAATGAGAGAGAATCATCGATTGGCTGGCTGCCTCCTGCATGTCTCCCACTGGGGATCGAGCCTGCAACTTGGGCATGTGACCTGACCAGGAACTGAACTGTGATCTCCTGGTTCATAGGTCGACGCTCAACCACTGAGCCACACAGGCTAGGATGTAATATTTGTTTTGTTTTTTATTTTTTATTTTTGGTTGTTGCTTTATAATGAGAACATTTTCTTTCCATAATTAGAAAATAAAATAAAAGCAAAAGTCATCTATCCTCTTACCCCCATAAATCCAAGTTCTATACAAAGCAAGTGACTTCTCCACTTTGGCAGGCTTATAAAAGTACTCTGGTGAAGTTCCCATAAAGCTAGAGCCATCTGCCTGGGTTTCTTATAGCAGGGCACCCTTTTTAGACACAGTACATGAAAAGTCATCTAATCCAGGACCCCAGAATTTTAATTGTCCCAACTCCTATCTTTAACGAGTAGCCTAGGCTTAAAAAGGGTCACCACAGAACAGACATTTGGAGGGAATGCTAGATTTCATAATAAAACCAACTCTTCTGGACACTTCCATCTATCTTCCAGACCCATACTATGCTCTGCAAACAAACTATCACACTTAATCCTCAAACCACACTTTCCCAAGTACTAGGATTATCTCCACTGAAGCTTGGAGAATTCACACTCCCTGGAGCACACTGGAGGAATGAATATGTGGCAGAACCAGCCTGAGCCTAGTTGGATCTAAGTCCAGGTCTGCACCACCGAACTGGGCCTTGCCCTCTCGGAATTCTCAGAAACCACACAATTCATATCCAGTGTAACAAAAGCTGATAACAAGAGAAACCACTTAGGGAAGTCAACTCACATTCATTTTGAAGCAATAGCACCATCTAGTGGTCGCTTCTGAGAGTCACCATTCAATTGCTCTTCCTTACATCTTCCTCCTTCCCCAAAGTAATGCTAAGGACACCATCACTACCACCTTCTACCCAACAGAAACTATTTTCAAACCTATCTTGGGGACCTGTAGCCTGCCTCAGTTGTAGACATTCAATCACTAGTCTTCTTCTCCTTATTTACTACGGGCAGGGCCTCGAGCTTGGTGGGGTCACCTTGGAATAGGGCTATAAAATTCTTTTGCTGTGGGGCTGTCCTGTGCATTGTAAGATGTTTAGTTGAATTCCTGTCTCCATTCATGAGAGACCAGTAGCAGCATGCTCTCCCCCAACCTCCACCATCTCAACCAAGAGTGTCTCTGGACATTGACAAATGCCTGCTGGTAGCACAATCAACCTCAATTAAGAACCATGGAGCTAACTTACCTGGATTAAACCCCTTCTTGATTTTGGCCTTTCTAGAGCTGTCACCTGGGCCAGTGACTCAAACTCTCTGAGCATCAGATGAAGGTAGCAACAGCTCCTGCCTCTCAGGGAAAGTTGTTTAGATGAAGAACCAGGGGCTTAGGGGCAGGGAATAAGCTCTGAGTCACACAGGTGCCAGTCGGGCAGGTGCCAAAGCCCACACCCTGCATGCTCCATGGCTGAGTTCTTCCTCGCTGGGTGCTTCCAATGCTTATTCTATTGGCTGGTTTGACTCCAACTCCTTAGTAATAAATTATAAACAAGAAATACCAATGCCCCGGAATCACTCAGCAGTAGAGACTCTCCCTTAGCCATTCAAAGCACCACCAAGCAGGGATAAACATGATGGTATGGACTGAAATGTGTTCTCAAAATCCCTATGTTGAAGCCCTAACCCCCAATGTGACTGTATCGGATATAGGGCCTTAAGGAGGTGATTAAGGCTAAAGGAGGTCATAGGATAGGGCCCTAACCCAATAAGACTGGTATCCTTAAAAGAAAATAGATAGCCCTGGCCGGGGTTGTACAGTGGTTAGAGTGTTGGCCACACACACTGAAGGATCGAAGGTTCGATTCCTGGTCAAGGGCCCATACTTGGGTTCAATCCATGACCCAGGCTCAGTGTGTGTGAAACATCGATGTTTCTCGATGTTTCTCTTCCTCCCTCTCTCCCTCCCTCCCTCCACTTACCTACTACTCTTTCTAAAAAAAATCAATGGAAAAAAATCCTCAGATGAGGATTTAAAAAAAAGGAAAGAAAAGGAAGAGACACCAGAACTCTCAGTGTATGCACACAGAAGAAAGATCATATGAGGACACAATTAGAAGGCAGCCATCTGCAAAATGGGAAAACAGGCCTCACCAGAAAACATCACTGAAGGCACATCTTGGATTTCCAGCCACCAGAAAATAAATTTCTGTTGTCTAAGCCGCCCAGTCTGGGGTACTTTGTCACAGCAGCCCAAGTACACTAAGATATATGGCAAACACAGACATTTGAGAAACAACACAAAAACAATGCCAAATCCCACGCTGCCAACACTCGGCAGTGCAGAGGCAGGTGTCAAGGATTGTCCTTACAAAGTGAGGTCTCGTGACTGATATTCTCAAAGAGGATGTTCAAGGTCTGCAACAGCTGAACGCACACATAGCGGCCTGATTTCTGCCGCAGGATGTTCAGGAAGAAAACAAACATATTCTTCTCCAGGAAGAAGCTGGGGAGAGAATGGGAAAGCGTCAGTGGTTTGTTTCCACAGAAAGAAATACAAATCATCCTCTGGTTCCATGCTTAGCACACGTGCACTCCCAAGCCCCCAAAAGCATTTGCAGAGCAGCCAGACCATGCCATCTGCACAGCCTCAGCTTCCAGGCAAATGCAATCTTCCCAGCAATCTTCTCAGAAGGCAAGAACAGTGCTGATTCTGGAAGCAGTGAACTACTAAATTTCTGACAGAATGATAAAGATCTTTACCTATTAAATGATTACATAGTAATCTGTGTTTGGAATTTAGTAAGCAAATATTTGATATCCTTCCTTCTTATTAAGCCTCTTTCTTTTGCTCCCCATGTCTTTGAGAGTTAAACAACAATGGGATATAAAGGGTTTTGGTTTCCAAATTGTCAGGTTTGTTGTTTCCATGCTGGGGGGAAAAAATGGGAAGGAAATAGAAGATGCTACCATGGTGGTAGGACCCTAGCCAGGCCCCAAGTGCACATTTGCCTTTCTTGTTCTGGACAGAACTTGGTTTGTACGCAACCTGGGGCACTAACAGTTAGTACACATTGGTTTGTTTAATCTTGAAAAGGAGACAGAACCCCCTAATGCTTTTCTTTAAAGAAAGAAAGTGATGTTTCTAGTTATGTGTTCTCTGAGTTCAAGCTAAGAGCAGATAACTCTCTTTTGGGGTATTCCAAATAAATGGCTGCAGTAACATGTGTCCGCTGGTTGACTTAGTTTTAGTAACTCTTTCCCCTCCACTGTCAGTTCCACAGTAGCATGACTGTGGGCCACATAACTTCTGTTTGAATCCATGAAAGGGTAAATGAATGAAAAAATTACCTTAAAAAAAGACCCCTAAAATCTTTTCCATCTGATTCTAGGAGCCTTTCACATGGACCCCAGAATAGGTCAACATTTGACCTATTTTGTTTATCTTGTCTACCAAGGATCACCCAACAAGCTCACTATAGCATAATGATAACCAAGTTGGGAACTTATGAAAATGCCTGTAGACTTTGCCCAGAGATCTATCCCCAGAGATCTATCCCCTAAAACTAACAAAATCCAAGGGCCTGGATTTTTAAAAACACCCTGGAGGAGTACAGAGGGGGCTCCTTGGAAAAATAACTAATTCTAGGGCTGGGGCAGAAAAAAAGAAAAAATGAACCCGGAGCATCTTAAAGTACCAGAAAGTAAGGAAGCGCTCAAAAACAAATGGATGGGGCGTGTCAAAGGACACAGGAAACAACCTAAAGGAGCTTCCAAAGCTGGAATCAATTCAGCAACATAACAAATAACACTGTATTTGATTATAATCCAAAGTATAAAGTAAATATCCATGATATAAATAAATTATTGAATAAATACATAAATGGGAAGAAACAAATCTTCCATGCAGAACTTCAAATACTAACCCCTCGCAGAAAGTGGAGCTTAGTTCCCATGCTCCTAGACAGGATAGGTATGCCTAAAACTGTCAAGGTCATAAAAAAACAAGGAAGACTAAGAAACTGTCACAGAGCAGAGGAGAGTGGGGAAATGTAACAACTGAATGCACTGTGGGAGCCTCGGTTGGGAGTCTGGACTGGGATTCTAGAGCAAAAAGAATATTAATGGAAAATCTGGCAAAATTTTATTTAATAGTTAGGTATCAATGTCAACTCTAAGATGTTAACAATGGAGGAAACGGGATGGGGATAAGGGGTGGCAGATGGGAACTTTCTGTACTATCTTTATAACTTTTCTGTAAATCTAAAACTACTCCAAAAAAAAAAAGTGTATTAAAAATAAATTCTCTTGGGGACTCTGTTAGGCAGCCACCTGAGAATCCCTGGGCCTCAGGGAATTTTCCAAACTGACAAGTGGACTAAGGAGGACAGTTTCTAAGCTTTAATCTAAGGGTTTCTAGTAAACAAAGATGGTTTCTAAACTTTAACCCAAGGGTCTCTCTCATTTCCAAAAACAGATACCAACCAACCAATTCTCCATGGAACCTTAAAGAAAGCTAGTCCCATTTATAAGCAACACTTCACTTTATTACTCCGATTATCCTTTGGGGATTATGGCCAGTATCACAGGTTTGCGTTTTCACATGTAGCTTTATTTAAATAATCTTACCAATGAAAACAGAGCTATCCAGAAAATCAGGATATCTATTAAGAAGCCATGTTAGAAATGGAATACCTTTTTTTTTTTAATGGTCTTAAAAATGGCCTCAATGCTTATAATTGAGATTATTTTTATATAAAAATAAAATCTATCTGATAGTTATCAAAATCCAAACTCTTCTGCACTCAGACACTGAGACAGATCTATTGGGGAAATAGCCTTTGCTTTTTTTATTTTTATTTAAATTCTTTATTGTTGAAAGTGTTACATATGTCTCCTTTCCCCCTCACTGACCTCTCCCTACCCACTCTGGCCCCCCAGCACATGCCTTAACCCCTCTATAGTCTGTGGCCATTGGTTATGCTTATATACATGCATACAAGTCCTTTGGTTGATCTCTTAGCCACCCCACCCAACCTTCCCCTGCCTTCCCTCTGAGGTTTGCCGGGCTATTCGATGCTTCTATGTCTCTGTATCTATTTTTGTTCATCAGTTTATGTTGTTCATTATATTCTACAAATGAGAATGACCATCCAATAGGAACACCTTTATTTTATTTTATTATGAACTGCTAACATTTCTTAATGCCTAGGCCAGGTGTCAGCAACCTATGGCTCCAGAGCCGCATGCGGCTCTTTTGAAGCTTTACCGCGGCTCCAACAACTTGCAAGCCTGTGTGAAAATGAAGGTAACGTCTTACAGCCCTGATGTGCTGACACTGTGCACTGAGGTTCAGGAGCAAAAATCCCATTAACCAGGTAAATTAAATATTTTAATTAGCTATTAATTTGCAAAAATATATTTTACATTGTTAAGTGAAAAAGTCCCCTTTTTTTTTTCTTCAGATTGACAGCTAACTGCACGATCCGGTATACAGCATTAAGGTAAGAAACAATATATGCAGTGTTATATTTGTTTTAAATGTCGCAATGGTTTTGCGGCTCCCAGGTTTTTTTTTCCTTCGGAAACGGGTCCAAGTGGCTCTTTATGTCTTAAAGGTTGCAGACCCCTGGCCTAGGCTATACCAGGCACTAGACAGGGAACTCTCTCTCGTTTAAAGATGAGGAAACTGAGGCTGGCCTAAGGTTGCTCATCTAGAAAGTAGAGAATAAGGGACAAACCCCTGCATGGGCTCTGGCAGGAGGCACTGCTTCAATGCTTACCAGCTGTATGACCGAACACATAAATGGAACAAGGCCATTACCCTGGAGTCACTGGGAGACATAGGGGGATTATCTCATCAAGAGCTCAGCACTGTGCCTGGCCATCAGTAAACACAATAAATGTTTGCCTTTAGTGTCTCCCCCGTTCACTCAGAGTCTAATTACCCAGGACATTGTCTCCTTCCTTGGGGGTGATAATCAGACACTATTGGAAAAATTACCCATGATATTTTCAGATTTTCTAGAGACTCATTTCCATACTTCCCCATTTTCAGCTGTGGTGTTTCAGGACATTTTATATATTAATAGATAGAGGAATAGATATCCATGCAAGACCAAATTGGCTTCAAATTCTGACATCATCAGAATGACTCATGATACGCATTCAGAAACATATTCAAAGGAAGACGGAAACATTTTTAAAACATTAGAAACCCTTACTCAAACACAGAGCTGTCATTCTGATCTCCCCAAATCAGGATCTCAGTGATGGAACGGATAGTCTCCACTAGCAGGTTCCGGTTCTGTTCTGTGACTGTGGTGTTTTTGGTTAAAACGTGGTACAAATACCTGAAAGGCAAGAATAGTAAAGATTACCAACTGAAATGAAAGCCAGGTTCAATGACCATTAGTGACATTTGGGGGACAACATCACTGTGCCTTTTCACATCCACTTAGCACAACTGCCATTCAGTTGAGACAGAACTTACCATTCAGGAAAAATGGCAGACACTTCTTTGAAGCATTAAGTAACTGAGAACACACCAACCCCAACTGAGGTAAGAGAATTGTCAAGTCCTTGAAGACAGCCATCTCAAAGTTGAGTGTGTTAAGATAATCCCTGGAGAACTGGATAAAACGGGGGTATGGAAGCCCACCCGGAGATTCAGATTCAGCGGGACCTAGGGAAGATCAGGTCCTGACCTTTTTCACACACTCCCCAGGTCATTCTGATGCTAGTGGAGCAAGTGGAGACACATGGCTCAGGTCTGACTGCTTAACCTAAGACCTGCATGAGGTGTTGTCATAGCTTATGGGGGGGGGGGGGGGGGGGTGTCCCAAAGCCAGCACCTGGGTAAAAATCATGTGCAGATTACCCTTGGATTGCTCACAATTCCCTTAAAGTTCAGATCGCCATCAGAATTGGTGGCTCATATAATATAAAGTGGGTTACTTGCAGGACACTGATTTTATGTGCTGAGTGCAGATTGTTGGAATTCACAAAGTCAAGTGGGCTTGAGACTATGGCACTATATTTCACCCACCAAAATGGCCATAAATGGTCCTGGAAGGCCCACGCTGCTCCAGACCTATGCCAGCTACTGGGGCAGAAACAGAAGGCCCAGGCCCATCCTCAATGCCCTCTGCTGGTAGCGAGGGCAACTGGGTCACTGAGGCCAGTGCCGAGCAGTGTTGGACCCAGAAGCCTGGTCAGATGCCCTGGGGCTGCCACCTGACACAACTTTTAAGAGATGGCATCTATAGGACCCACAGACTGAGGTAACTTGAGCTGTTATGGGAGTCTCAGACATACTTGGGAAGGCAAAGGGAATACCTAGAGTCACCTCTTGGTTTCTTTTATGGCCCCTTCAGTTAGGGGTGGGGGCTAGTGAGAGCAAGACAGGAAAAGATTAAATAGAATCGTCCCATCAAAAAAATCTCTAAAAATGTAAGATATAAAAGACAGATTCTTTCAGAAGGAACAATAAGGAGCAATCTGCTACTTAAGGGGGCTGGGTTTTAATTTAAAATCACATGCAACTTCTACGCAGTAACCAAAATAGCCCTTGGAAAACAGAAATCTCCACCACCCATGTCCAAATCTATAGGTAAGGCTACAGATGGGAGCAGAAGCTAGTTTTCCTCGGGGATAAGGTTACTCCACGGCACTGTTTCAGCCTGGGATGAATCACAAGGGCACTCGTGAATCTCTTATCTTCCCGTCGCCTTGACTCATCTTCTCCAAGTCAAAGAGCAGAGTTTTTCAAATTGTGGTTCACAGGCCTCCTGCATCAGAATACCTAAGTTGCAGATTCTAGTTCCCCATCCCAGATCCACAGAACTGACTCCTGGGTGTGGTACATGACGCTGAGTCAGCTCTGAGTCCTGGTGACTCTGAATAAGTGATGTTCACAATGTCCTGTCCTCAACAGCCCTGCTCAGCAACTATAGACTCATGCCTACAGCTTCTTTTATGGAGTCAGTCTGTCTCTTTAGTCTTTTTCTTTTCCTGCTGCGTTCTATTTTTCCCAGCACTACTGTCTTTTCCAAAGAACCCTGCTTTCTCATGATGTCTCTGCGAGCTTCAGTTTTGTCATTTTTTTGCCTCTAGCAACGTTTCAGGCTTATTGTGCTCCAGGGTCCACTTGTTCATCTTTCTGGAGGTCCAGGGTAGAACTCTCAACACCATATTTCCAACCAGTCATTTTCCTATCAGCCTTCTTCACTGTCCAACTTTCACATCGGTACCTAGTAATTGGGAATATGAGGGTGTGGATCTTAACCTTGGTCTCTAATGACATATCTTTGTGGTGATCCTCCCTAATTCTTCCATTGCTGCCCTTCTGAGTCTCAGCCTTCTTAAATTCTTGGCTATAGTCCCTATTTTAATTGATATTTGAACAAAGTAAGCAAAATCTTTAACAATTTCAATATCTTCACTATGTTAAAGTTGTGTATTACTTCCATAGTCATGATTTTATGTTAAAGTTGTGTATTTCTTCTGTTGTCATGAGTTTTGTCTTCTTGATGTTCAAATGCAAGTCCTGCTTTGGCACTTTCTGCTCACTTTCATCAGAAGTCATTTCAAGCCATTGCTACTTACTGCCATAAGATGGTGTCATCTGCGTATCTGAAGTTACTGCTAATTCTTCCACCAATTTTCATTCTTCCTTCCTCTGAGTCTAGCCCAGTTTTTAGTATGATATGTTCTATGTACAGATTAAACAGGGAGATAAAATTCACCCAACCTGTCACTTTTGCCTATAGAAAACTATTCTGTCTCTCTCTACTCCGTCCTGACAATGGCTTCCTGCCCACAATGCAGGTTACACATCAGGACAATCAAATGCTAAGGCACACCTGTTTCTTTCAGAACAACCCACAGACTCGCAAGTGGAGAACACCAAATCTGTATTTTGAATGAGCTTACAGAGTCATCACATCACTCACACGATGGCCATCAATGGCACTTTCCATGCAGCCCACAGCATACCCACTCCCCGCCGTGACAGGCACTATTGGTGCCAGGGGAGAGGCAGATTCTCCCACTCTGGTGTTTCCTTGTGTAGAGAGGATGACATCCATTAAAGATCAGATAGTAAAATCTTTAGAGCCAGCTCTGACTTATATTCACTGTGCCTGGAATGCCCTTGCTGCCCTAATCAATCAATAAACTCTTACTAATATTTCAAAACCTACCTCAGGCACCTCTTGGTAGAGCCTTTTTTAAAGAACCTCCCTACCCACCTGCCCCGGGGGATTTGATTAGTCCCTCCTCTTTTTTTAATTTCATTTTTAAAAAATAAATCTTTATTGTTCAGATTATTACAAATGTGTTCCTTTCCCCCCATTCCTCACCCCTCAATTGCTCCCCTCCACCAGGTTCCAGCCCCACCCTCTGTCCTTTCCCCATCCCCCATTGTCCTCATCCATAGGTGCACAGTTAGTCCCTCCTCTTTAGTGCCTCTGTACTCATAGGTATTTGCTGCTGCACAGATCACCCTCATTTGCAATGATCCGCCTCCCTTTCTAGACATGAGTTCCTCAAGATCAGAAACATCATCTTATTGATCTTGGTGACTCCAAAATGCCTGGTTCACAGTAGATAATCAATAAATTCTGAATGGCTGGAAGGTAGGGACTGACTTCATGAACATGTTACATCAGAGCATGTAAAGACTGAACATAGTTAACGGTCCAAAGCCAAACACAGCAAGTGGCAGCACAGAGAGGCAGTGGAGAGCTCAGGCTTTGGGAGTGTAACAGACAGACTTGGGCTTGACCTTTGACTATGGCACTTCCTAACTATGGAGATCAGAGCCAGCTCCATAAGGCACCAGTAACAGTCAAGGCCTCTTCACTGAGCTGTTCCAGGTATTGGACATGATAACGCACAGAAAGAGCCAAGCTTGGCATCTGGCACACAGTAAGCATTCAACAGATGCAGAATTGGCTGCTACTACTATTATTATGTTGTGGTCATTATGATTGGGGCCATAATCAACATTACTATATTATACATGGAATATTTCAGAACTTAGGAAGGAGAGTTCATGCTGGATCCATTCATGAAAAGAAGACTTCTTGGGACGAATTATGGAACCATCCAGCGAAGCCAGAGCAGGACGTGGAAAGTCTAGGCTTAGCTGGGTAATCTTGAGCAAGTTAGTTTATCTCTGTTCACCTCAGTTTTATCAACCATAAAAATGGAGCAGCAACTGAACCTTAATGCTTTAGTACCTACCTATTATGGTGTTGTTAGGAGAAATAAACAAGTAAAAAGACATTATAAAATGGCAGTTTCTACATATGATACTATTATTATTTCCATCATTGCCTTTGTTAAATAATCTATGAAAAAAATTTTAGTAACTATGAGGAGGCCCTTACAGACAAACCTAGGAGAAAGAGGAAGATTCTAGAAGCTCCCACATGTGCTGCATGGCCTACAAACCTGACTCTATGTGAAGGGCTTCATGTGACCCTCATACTCATAGTAACCTGGGGACATGAAAATTGTGACCACCACTGCGCAGGCCGGGTTGGCAACAGAGGGACATTTTGGAGCTCGCCTGCTGCCAATGGCCAGCAGGCACAATGTGAGAGTTCCAGCTATTACATGGCCCAACACCTGCTGTTCTTAGTCTTTTTCAGTGGAGCTATTCTGCTGGGTATATAGTGATGTTGTACTGGGGTTTTATCCTAAATAATAAAAGGTCAATATGCAAATAGACCAAACGACAGAACAACTGAACAACTGGTCACTATGAAGTGTGCTGACCACCAGGGGGCATGTGGGGATTATGGCAGGTGTTAGCCGTGGCAGGATGGTGGAGCAGGTGAGCAGGGCTCCAGACCAAGGAGGGGCGCTGGTCGCTGTCATTGGAGTGAACATCTGGTGGTTACTGAAAATTCTTTGCTCCTGCATGCCGAGGTCCCACCTGGCGCTCAGACCTACCGGCCCTACTCGCACCCGAAGATGGCGCCGAGCAGCTCGCACATGTGCTGCTGGTGCACTGCGCTGCTGGTGCACTGCGCTGGTCCAGATCACCCAGAGACATTAGCAGGTGCGAGTGGCGGCTGCCAGCTCTGATCACCTGAGGGCTTCTCCACTTACCCCTGCTCCTGAGGGGGAAGTGGGACAGAAATGCTAATGGCACCAGCCCCACTCACACCTATTGCTGGCATCAGCGGTTGTGAGTGGGGCTTGCACCATCAGCACCGGTGGGAGGGGTTGGGCAGAGGCATGGAGGATGGGATAGCCTCGAAGCCCACAGTTCCTTTCAAGGTGCAGGAATTTGTGCACGGGGCCCTTAGTTGTATAATAATTAAAGTTGAATGCCTTTTCA